GCAAAAGATGACCTCAGCTGATGACATAAGAAAGCAATACTACATTGTTTATAGTATACTCTAACCAAGATGTATCATCGCTATTTCAAACACTCAATGGTTCAACCTCATTCTTCTCCCCTTCAGTTAAAGCAGCAATCACAGCAGATGTTCTGGAGCTCAAGGGACGTAAAGATCGTAATAACATTTCACAATATTACTGTTTTGTTGAGCAAAAGGGACTTCCTTCAAAAACCCTAAAAAATTATACCGACCCCAAACTTTTGAACAGTAGTGTATGAAATTTGGTTGATTCTTCAGTTAGTCTTTTGATTTTGAATGTTAGAAAATGAGTTTTCTATGTGTATTATACTGTATAACTAACTTTAGTTTGTCAACTTTTTTAAAAAGTTGTTAGAAAAAGTGCAAAATACACTTTCCCTTATTTGCACAGTATTTAAAAGTCAAGCTCAAAACAGAAATTAAGAAAAGGCGATTTAAAAAGACTTTAAATATATTTATTAAATGATTATTAATCTCTGCTTGATTATGAATGAACACATTTTTTTGAACAGCCATTCTAATTGAAGAATCACTCATTTTTAATTAGAGTCAGTACGGACTGGGCCTTTTCTCTTAAAAAAGTTGCACTGCAAACTTATACAAATAAACTAAAATAATAGTACAGACCTCTTCAGGAGCCTATACGTAAATGAGAGATGGAGTAAAAGGGAGAAAAAATGACAGGAGGAAAATGACTAACTCCTGTTGCACTTTCCCGTGAGTTCTGCAGCCCAGCGCTCAACACGGTGACTCAGTCGGTACAAATATACACATCATGCAAAGATTGTGCAACATCTTTCAGCCCATATGATTTCAAACGACAGAAGAAAAGCAATTCACAACAGACTAAAGAGTAACCAGACAGAAGAAAGAGCAGAAGAAAGGGCGAGGGAGATAGAGAGAGAGCAGGAGAGAGACAGGGACTGACCACGGTCTGCTGGTATCTCAGAGCCTTCCTTGTGCAACATCTTTCAGCCCATATGATTTCAAACGACAGAAGAAAAGCAATTCACAACAGACTAAAGAGTAACCAGACAGAAGAAAGAGCAGAAGAAAGGGCGAGGGAGATAGAGAGAGAGCAGGAGAGAGACAGGGACTGACCACGGTCTGCTGGTATCTCAGAGCCTTCCTTTGCGACGCATCTGCGGCCATTGACACACTGTCACTGACCCAAAAATAAACCGCCTGTCTGTCTTAGCATTCTCACCCTGGGGTGGCACGGACTGAGGGAGAGAGGGCACATGCAAGTTCTCTTGCTCTCTTTCCTGGCTTTACGCATGCACAGCCATCTCTCTCTCACACACCTTTTCATGTGGTGCAACACAGCAGTCCAGTTGCCTGACTAAGCCGTGTGTGTCCGTTTATGTGGACGTGCCTGTGCCTGGGACACATACATGTGTTTATGCATGTGTGTGAGAGTTACAAAGAGAGTGTAGATGCCAAACTAAACCCATCTGGCCCTTCATGAGTGGGGCCGGTTTGTTTAATAGTGGCCAATCCTGTCGCCCCTGGCAACAAACTAAGACTTTGATCACCTGTTCATTTGGAAAGGGGCACAGTGAGGGTTTGAGCGGCCGAGGGAACTCCCCGTCCTCCATGAAACATGATGAGGGCAGCACAGGGAGGACCAAATTGGCCAGTGTCATCTCTGATTCGCCCTTTTCATGACCAACAGAATGTTAAACAATACACTTAATGACACACGGAGACAGTTTTAGCATTATATAAACACATTCTGGATAACAGTGAAAAAAAAAAAACCTAGGATAAGCAGAATTTTAGCATTACATCACTTGCTCACCAATAGAGCCTCTACAGTGAATGGGTGCCGTCAGAATGAGAGTCCAAACAGCTGATAAAAACATCACAATAATCCACAGGTTAGTCCATCCAGTCCATCAATTAACATCTTGTGAAGTCAAAAGTTGCATTTTTGTAAGAAACAAATCCATCATTAAGACGTATTTAATGAAATTACGTGTCCTTTATCCATAATATTGCTTCCTCCAATGAAAAAGTCATTTTGTCTGAATCAGGAGAGAAATATGCACAGATCAAGCACCATTTACAAGCTAAAATGGTTCTAAAAATATATGTTGGTGGATTTTGAAGTGAGAGGACAACAGGGGATAAACTTTTTCACTGGAGGAATTGTTGGGCTGAAGTGACTATTTAAAGTTAAAACACTTTGGATTTGTTTCTAAAAACATGCCGTTTTTTTGCTTCACAAGACGTGTGGATTACTTGTGGATTATTGTTATATTTTTATCAGCTGTTTGGACTCTCATTCTGACGGCACCCATTCACTGCAGAGGATCCTTTGGTGAGCAATAAAGAATAAAAAGATAAAGAAGCAATCTTGCACGTATTATCCAAAACAATTAGATGCTAACAGTTCTATGAAGATTATTTTCTCCAAATCTGTTCTTATGAAAAAACAACTCATCTTGGATGGCCTGAAGTTGAGTAAATTTGAATCAAATTCTCAGTTTTGAGTGAACTATTCCTTTAAGATGTATTCACATACAGGTAGAATTGAATGCAAATATTTTATTAAACCTTCCATGGCAAACATATGATACGTTATTATATTAACATATGACAACTGAGCCAGTCTTTATCATTAACTGTCTGTGGTACAGTGATGCATGGCAGAAACTCAGGTGAAGGCGGAGCTTAAAGAAACAGCTGTAGGATGTGGGTGTGGCAGCAAGAATGCAGGTAGATGACAGACAGCAAAAACAAAGAGCACTTGTAGAATACGAAGAGATGGGACCAAGAAGTTGATACTTTGAGAATAAAATACAGCAAAAACACCAGTTTTATAAACAGCGAATAGAAACAAAACAGCCTCTGACAAAAGAAGATGACCAAGTTTGGAAAATGAGAAACAGTTCCATCATTCTTCACACACAGAGAAGATGACATGTAAGTTCATTAACATGCTAACCATATACATTTATATGCACAGATTATTTTACATTATACTGCTGTGTGTGTGTGTGTGTTTGTGTGTATATATATATATATATATATATATATACATACACACACACACACACATATATATATGTGTATATATGTATATATAAACAGCATATATAGATATATTTAATTATTATTTATATATAAATAAACAACATTAAAACCTGAAACTTGATGGGCACATTTTCACTGGCTAAATTCTAGTTAAATCAAAATTTGATAAATCAAGAAGTTGGTATTTACATTATACTGAGCTCACATTGACTCCTGCGTGTGGTGAAGTTTGTGGTGTGTTTTTAATGTGAAGACAGAAATGCAGAGAAACCGGTTGAGTGAATGTCTGGTAGTCTCATACACAAACTTAAGATGTCAAAGTCAAACAGAAAGAATGTGCTGAAAAAGGATGATCAGTAGTGGGAGAGTTCAAGGCGTGATGTTGTCACAATGTTTTCTTTTACTGTACGTGCATTGATGTTCTTTATAATCTTGATAAATTTGAAGTTATTTTTAAACCATTGATCACAAACGTCAATGTCTGACTACGAGTGTAGATCATATTTTCTTTTCATGCCAGTGTTTTATATAGAGGCAAAAAGCTCCATCATTGTCATGATGTTATTATAACAAATATTTAGCTGCCATCAAATAGGATGGGACTTTTGTGCAATGTGACGGTGTTGTCTTGTTTTACAAGACAATTGCTTACATATTTCATTGCTGAATAAAAATGTCAGAGACAATCAAAACAAAGCAAATCTAGCTTTATGATTGATACTTAAAAGTACTGTGAAACGTACAAATCATTTACAATAAAATACCAGTCAAAAGAACAGTAAGATTTTTAAAGTTTTTTTTAAAGAATTCTCTTCTGCTCTGCTGTATTTTGGATCAAATAAATGCAGGCTTGGTGTGCAGAAGAGAATTCTTTAAAAAAATGTTTTTTAAATCTTACTCTTCAAACACTTTTGACTGGTAGTGTACATAAACACTAACAAAGTATAACAAATATTCTCTGCAAAACACATACAGCAAACTACATGGGTAATCAATGTCAAATATTTAAAGTCTGGTTTGATGTCTTTCAAGGAGAGCTGCCAAACTGCACACATGCACTGCAAGATTATGCCAGAGATGTTATATACACCCATAAAACACATAAGCTGATGCATGTGAATAGCATTGCACTTGAATTACTGGATATCAGTTTATATGTAGTGTTTTGAAGTTGGTGCTTTGCCATATCTCATTAATGGTGGTAATATATATGTTTTTCCTTTTACAGTATGTCTAATACAGCTAACGCAACAAATCTATGTGTAGCAGGCACTCTTTGTGGTAAGTAGTGGGTTATGTTCAATTTATTTAGTCTCTCTCTATACACCATTCAAAAGTTAAAAATATTTTTAATATTCAATAAGAAATTATTATTTTTTTATTTACAAAGGATGCATTAAATTGAGCTAAAGTGACAGTAAAGAAATGTATAATAATGCTGTAGATTTCTATTTCAAAAAATGCTAATTTTACATTCATCAAAGAATCCTGAAAAAATATTTCTACCAACAAATTGAGCAGCATAACTGCTTTCAACATCGATAATAAAAAAATGTTTCTTTAGCACCAAATCACCATATTAGAATATCTGAAGCATCATATACAATATTGCCGTTTTTATTGTATTTTTGATCAAATAAATGCAGCATTAGGGAGCACAAAAGACTACTTTTAATACATGTGGAAACACACTTTTCTCATCTATGACTATTCATTCAACAGTTTATTATGCGTATTGATATTTTCCCCAAATTCTTGAACATTCACTTCTTCTACAATAATGATCTCTTCAGTTTGACATTTAAAATGTGCACACTTTTGAAAATGTACATCTTTTGAAAATGACCAATATTTTTACCTGGACCACTCCTTTCTCTCTGATTCATAAATATATAAATGATGAACAATCACATAAAACGATGAAAAATCACTCAGACAAGACAGGAGGTTGAACGTGGGAAACATATTTCCAAGATAGGAAAGGAAAAGACAGACAAAGAGATAAGTCTGCCCTCACAGCCAGACACTGTGTCACGGTCATCTTTCAGAGAGGAACATGACTGATCTAAAACTTTAAAACCTCATCATCTCCACCAGTGCCACCGCAGACAATGAGCACTGCATGTTTCACTGGTGTAAATGAAGTGGGAGGAGATTAGAGAGAGTGATCAGATGTCTCACTGCTTGACACACTCAGTTCCCTCTATCTGTGACTAAAACATGCAAACATGTGACACAAGGAATTCAGCTTTCTAATCCCATTGTGTTAATGGGATTTAAATATTGGTCATTTTTGAAAATGACCTCTTCTTTGCAGAGGTGCTTTTTTATGAAGTCGAACTGATCGTCGTTCCGGTGCTGTTTCTCCTGGCTTTTCTGGTCACGCTGATCATTTTGTTTGTGCTCAAATGCTCCTACAAGCCATCACATCTTTATGGACACCACAGAAATGAAAAAGATGACACACAACACCATCATAACACACAGAGACACCGTAACAGCAACAGACGGCACCTGCAAGGCATTGACGGTAGCTACGGCATCTGACTTTGTTACACACTAAATACTCAAGTCGCTTGTTGTTTGTTGTGTTTATTTAAAGGTCTTCCGGTTCATGCATGATAGAAATGTTTATCGCTATGTTTATTTAAAGGGTTTCCCTTTATGAATGATCACAGTGTTTATTAATAGACTATCTTGTTCATTAATTATCAAAGAGTTTATGGAAAGGTCTTTCTCAAAAGTTATACTGTAAGAACATACAACAGATTCAGTTTTTTCTCTCTCTTAATCTTTTAATTTACTTTGCAACAACAGCTCCAGCAGAGCTGAACCCATTGGAACATGAGGTTATTCCCATGACAGCCCAACCTCACCATGACATGCAGAATTCAAGCCCTGCAGTACCTCAGCAAACCACCGGGAGGCATCCGGACCTCTTTCAGCTGGTCTCTCCACTTCCTCTCACCTTCTCAGTAAAAGCAGACAACACCGTCACATTGCACAGAGCTGTCATGGACAGACAGCCAGTCGTTTTACGAGTGCTTAAAGGTACTGTTGGATAAGCATTATTTTATTATTTTTTTTATTATTTTTATTTGACTTTAATAATATTAATATATTGTACAATTTATATATAGTATACTATTTTAGTTAATATTTCGAGTTAGCTATTATTTTTTATATTTTCAGTTTTCATTTTAATTTTAGTTTCATTTTAACATTATTTAAAATATTTCTATTTAGCTTTATTTTATTTCAGTTTTAGTTTTAGTAATTGTAGTAATTATTTCATTGCCGTTTTTCATGTTGTTCCAAACCTGCAAGACCTTTGTTCATCTTCGGAACATGTCGTGGTACTGTCGTGAACACGCGACGAAGACTGAGACAGAGGAGAGGAAATTGTTGAATAAAGTCATTATTTTTGTCTTCTTTGCACACAAAAAGTATTCTAGTAGCTTCATAACATTACGCTTGAACCACTGATGTCACATTGACTATTTTAACAATGTCCTTACTACCTTTCTGAGCCTTGAACATGTCAGTTGCATTGCTGTCTATGCAGGGTCAGAATCAGAAAGCTCTTGGATTTCTTTAAAAAAAATCGTAATTTGTGTTCCGAAGATGAACGAAGGTTTTACAGTGTATTTTATTATGAATCTGTGGTAGAATTCTGCCTCACTTGTTATTAAAGTTCAGGGTTTGCAACTAGAAGGTTGCATGTTTTATTCTCGAAACTAAAGAATGAGCTACAAAACCTCGCCATTGTGGCCAGCAAGTTAGATAGATAGAAGACAGACAGTCATATTGAATGACAGACAGATAACCAGGCGGACAAAACATCTTACTTTCTTCTACTTTTTCCCTCATGCAGAATCAGCCAGTGCCAAAGAGTGCCAGTCCTTTCTGGGGTTTGCCCACTTCCTTTCAGAGTTGGGACCGCATCCATCGTTACCCAAATTGCTGGGGGTGGTGTCTGTGCGGACACCGTTGATGATTGCCGTAGAGGAGCTGGAACACCGTGACCTGCTGAGCTTCCTGTGGAGGTGCAGACAGGTACATGAGTGATGCTTCATTTTCACTCTTGCAGGGGACAATGATAAAACTAGCTTGGCTTGATGAACTCAGGTTTAATTCCCGTGTTAACATATTTCCTTATGGGAGCGGGACATGAAAAAAGGGATTTTCCCCGTTTTAAGTTTACATCACTTCAAATTTTTTTGTACAAAAGAGCAAGAATTGTTTCTTGATCAGAAAATCAGCATATTAGAATGATTTCTGAAGGATCATGTGACACTGAAGACTGGAGTAATGATGCTGAAAATTCAGCTTTGCCATCACAAGAATAAACATGAACTAAAAGTCTCAAAACTCCAATTCTTCTAGATAAATATGACACGACTTGCAATTACTGTGCAATATTGACATTAAACTCTCACATTGATCAGTTATTTGCACTGCTGAGGTCACCTAAGAGTGGACAACACAGAGGTTGTGTCATTCCTGATGATCTCATTTGCAATGGATTGATTAAAAGTCAAACTACTATATATCTCACCTTTGTTTTGACTGGCTGTAAATCTCTTTCACAGGACCACACAGGTCAGGAGGCACCGTGTGACGTGACTGAAAGACAAATCTTTACCATGGGCGCTCAGATTGCATCTGCTCTGGTTAGATAACAAATCAGCTTGCAAGATATATACAATCACATTGACAGACAAAAGCCTGGCAACAATGTATAATCAAATATTTATGAATGATTGAGAGATTTATAAGACACATCAGGCATGCACATACTGGCAACTACATAAATCACAGAGCCTTTTACTTTGTTTGACTCTGGCATGCATTAATCATGACCAATCATGAGCACTTATACCAAAGCATTTATGATTTACAATATACAATAAATACTTTGTCACAAGATCAAGTTCGCATTCTAACACAACCTGTTCTGAAATCACAGGAGTATCTGCATAGTAAGAACTACATCCATGGCCATGTCAAGGCTCGAAGCGTCTTGGTTGGTCGGGATCTGTCGGTCAAGCTGTGGGATTTGGGTCCGGCATATCACAGAAAAATGAGTGCAGCCTCTATGGATGTAGAAGATATAGAAATGAGAAAATGGCAAGCTCCAGAAGCATTAGCACGGCAACCTCTCCAGCAAAGCAGCGACATGTGAGTTTGTGATAATTATTTGTATTTTCAGTTAATGTTTTTGTCACCTTTGATCTTGACATTGTGTCCATTTCTGTTTAATCCTCCATAGATGGTCCTTTGGCATTTTGCTGTATGAGATGGTGACATTAGGTGAGTGTTTCTGTCATCCACTATTATAAAAGTGTCCAGTACAGCTACAGCTGCAAGGTTCCATTTACATGGAAAAAATGATCAAATTATGAAGTTGTTTAAAGCTCTTTATCCCATTGTTTTTAATCTCAGGAGAGCCGCCCTTTCCCAACATCATGGCCAGCGAACTTCTGCAGCATTTACAGAGAGTGAACACACTAAAGAGACCACCCAACTGCTGTAATACACTGTACGTTTATTTACCCACACATATTCAGTAAACATCTTTATCTAAAAAACATGCACTTTAAATTTATTTTGTTGCAGTTAACTCTAATAATCCTGATGCACTATGTCATACACACAAATACAAAACATCATCAATGTTGCATGTGCCAATAAAATAATGAAATAGCTAAACATTTATTTTAACAACACAAGATGTAACATAACCACCCTAATGTACATAACTGATAACAAACGCTATAAAGAAACACAATTATGTAAACAAAATAACATCAAATTTGAAGTGCCACTCAGGGAACTCTAATGTCAGTTTAAAGTTTGTCAAGATGGCCTATACCATAATAAGACTAAAAACATACATATACAACAAAGAATCTATTCCGTTTCGATAGCCACTATAACATGCACTTACATAATATTTCTTCTCTAGATATTCTATTATCAAATCCTGCTGTCAGTGGAAACCAAAGGATCGAGTCTCATTGGCTGAGCTGATCAGAAAGCTCCAATCAGGAGAGAGAAGCGCCAATGATCAAGCAGTGCTGCAAGTGTCTGAGCCGCTGGACATCGAGAAATACATGCGAGAGGCGGGCTATTAAGAATCATTCGATTATGCTGTGCTCTAATGATCCCTTTATGTACTTGATCAAATCCAAGACTCACCAAAGGAGCTGCGCACTAGCTATAAATAAACAAACAGTTAAGGTTTGAGATTAGCACTTTCAAAGGATTACAGAAACTGCCTGTTACAGACAGTGATATCACTCTATCAAATGTAAAGAAGCACATTATCTCATCAAGCAAGCATGTGCTATTATTCAGGACTTTAGATTAAGGATAAAGGCTAAAAGCTTAATTGCAACACAATGAGAACGAGGGGATGTAAAATACGCAACAGCGTAAGATTGTGTCATATATGAAATATGCAGCTAATAGACAAAAGCTACAATGTAAACATCTATGAAACCACACAAAAAAAACAACAACACAAACTGTGTCTAGTAATAGTTCAGGTTTTGTGATTTAACTTATCATTATATATATGAAATATGCAGCCTAATAGACAAAAGCTACAATGTAAACATCTATGAACCACACAAAAAAAAACAACAACACAAACTGTGTCTAGTAATAGTTCAGGTTTTGTGATTTAACTTATCATTATATTTATTTAGGTTGGACTACTGTAACATTTTGTTCACTGCTATGGCTAATTCAAATGGTATAACTTAAAATTATATTATTGGTATATTTATTGGTAACTGGAAAGTCTATTGCATTATAATGACGTATGTATTTAAAATACACCATTTATTAACGTAATTTTTTTTTGTAAGTTTAGTCATGCTAGTGCAGTTATAAATAATAATGGTCACCTGACTTGTTCAAAATTAGGCCTACTTTTAAATATTTGGTTTTCCACTTACACATTCAAGCCTGCGGTTTTGGTCCGTGAGGGAAATTGAAGTACGTTAGGTTTTATAATAATCCTTCAATAAATGCGATTTTATCTGTATTTTGTCTAAATATGAGTTTCTCTTCACCTGTTTTTAACCAGAAGCACGATTGATGACGCATAGAGTGATGCTAAAATCTGATTGGCTTCAAAGGGCGTTATTGAAGATGATTGGTTATTATGCGGAACGACGCTAACGGACACAAATGACGCTGTGTTATTTGAATATCAGTCCAGTGATTAAAAATACAATTTTGTGTTTTAGCAAAGAACTATAAATACTCATTATCAAAGATTCAAATTCATATTGTTATTTATATGCACACTGAGTAAAAACAGTTATCTTTATGACTTTAGTTATCTTGAATATATTTTTGTGATGACAATTAGGTACCAAAATACCACAAATGTTACTGTATACTTCACTGAATCTGATGTATCCTATTAACATTTAGGAAACAGAAGTAACAAGAGAAGAAATAATTTAGACTATTTATTCACAAAATAATACAACAACTGTACACAGTACCACTCATGATTTTGATACACATTCAGGAAAAGCCACCATAAAATATACAAACGTCAAAACATCAACAGGTCTGTTTAGCAGACACTCTCCTTTTGACCGGCAATTACATAAATTAGAGACCATTCAACACAGAAACATGAACTTGGGTATTTACAGGGTGATGCTCTTCTAACTGTACAGTAAGCAAGTGAGTTGTGTACATTATGCACAGTAAAAGATACAATATGTGAAAGGTATAAACAGTTAATAAGATGGTTGTGTTTGCTAGTGTTAGAAGAGGGCTGGCTTAATGTGAAGCTGCTCTTAACCGCTGGAATACAAACCACAGTGCACTACTGCAAGAGGAATGTTCTTTTTTGGAGTTTCTCTCCGTGCAACACATACATGACCATAAGACATCAGAATGGGAAAACGCAGTTCTTCATATTACCCCTGGCGTATAAATGTGCTTATTAATAAATACTTTCACATTCAATATCTAGACAAAAATAGCAACACCTAAGCAATGGCAGCATAAAGCGTCTATCGACTTACATGATAGAAATTATTGGTAAAGATTCTCTAATAGAAGTAAAAAATAAATGTATGAACAACAAAATACTATATGTGTTTTCTATGAAAGGGATTAAAACAGAATGTCAGAAAGTGCAAAACTACAGCTACAGTATTATAAACACATTTATTCAAATCAGGTGAGACTGGTCTCACTACTCTGTCAAACCTCAAAGTGAGTCGGTGCAGCACATGTAACGCTGAAATACTAAATCACCAAGCACAGGAAATTCAGTAGCGGGAGTAATGGTCATAATCTAGCAAATTTCCTCCTTGATTATGTCATTTGCTAAAAATCTTAATCTAGGATATCTGAAATGTGAGCTTGTTTAGTTATTGAGACTGTATATACAGTGAAATTCACTGAACACTGGTTGGTCCATTTGCGTCCTCTACAATACAACCTTTACTGTGATTTTAGATGAATGAGTGATTTATTTATCTGAAGAGTCTGTTTCTTTAAATGTATTATTTTTGGCAGTAAACTAGCGATTTTATTCTTGGCATAAGCTTTACTAGCTAAGCACTTCCTATAAATATAAATATTTTAATGCATTTTCTAATTAATTATATGTTTGAAGTGTTTTTGATGGTAGTAGTGATCTGAAGTAATGAAAATGTATATACTGTATATTTCTATATACACTATATATTATACAAAATAAACATCGTCAGTGCAAAAACCTCGAGATTACGATGACCGCCAACTATCATTCAAGGGAAAAACACTTATGCTTTTCTAAAAGCAAAAAAAAAAAAAAAAAGAGGTTTGACAGTTGAAAATGGCGAGAACGATGAAGGCCAAATGTTAAAATTCCCTTTTTCTGTTTGAGTTGATAAAGGAAACTATGTCCAATTTGTTAATTCACATTAAAACTGCACTAAAAATGCACAAACAGGAATGAGCAATAAAAGGATATAACTCTTAAAACATGAATCAATATTGCACCAATCCATCAGTTGTCAAACTACACAATAAAATAAAGCTCATGTACTATGAGCTCTCGTATCCTTTCAAAATATGTCTAGGAGATCTGTGACTCTCCACTGTGGTTCCTTTCATAATCTGTTTACCCTAAACAATCTCTTTCCAGTAAATAAATCTCTAGTATTTTATTTCTATCTTCAGTGTCATGGCTTTAATCATATTAAGCTATATATAGTTACACCGTTTCTTAGATGGTGGAATTAGATTTCTCCTCTTTACTAGAATCCACCAGTGGCTGGGTAACTGAGCTCGGTTTGTCCTCCACCTTTGTGGCATCTGCCGCAGCTTTCTCAGATGAGCTTGCACCCTGTTCCGAGGAAGATTTGGAAGCTTCCACCAATGGGACCTTTTCTTTGACCGGAGAGGCAGGAAGTGCGACTCTGCCGGGCTCCTCCACAGAGGTGGCAGCCGGAGGCGGAGCCCCGCTAAAACCACGGGCGATGTCATCGAAAGTTCGCCCTTTGGTCTCCGGTACTTTGAAGTACGTGAAGATGAAGAAGAAGATGAGGAAGATCATAAATATAATGAAGACATATGGCCCGCACAGCTCCTGTAATTCACAAACAATAAGAAAAAAGTTAATTCTGACATTGTGCACACATTTTACCACAAAATAAAATCACGATAACCAGTTATGAGATAAAAAATTTTCTATATTAGGACAATTATTCGTTTTAAGTGGTTAAAGTAATGGCTATTGATTTAATAAATTAATTTAAGAGATGAATTTTGAATAAAGTCATTATTTTTGTTTTCTTTGTGCACAAAAAGTATTCTTGTAGCTTCATAAAATTATGGTTGAACCACTGATGTCACATGGACTGTTTTACCGATGTCCTTAATGCGTTTCTGGGCCTGGGAACATTGCAGTTACATTGCTGTCTATGGAGGGTCAGAAAACTCTCGGATTTCATCAAAAATATCTTAATTTCTGTTCCGAAGATGAACGAAGGTCTTACGGGTTTGAAGCGACATGAGGGTAAGTAATTAATGATAGAATTTTCATTTTTGGGTGAACTATCCCTTTAAACTCATACCTCCAATTCTCTAGTTTAGGAAACTATATTCCCACAAGCAGAAGAATACACTAATTTAACATGAAATAAGATCACAATAACCCGCTAGTCATGAGATAAAAATGTATTATAATAGAATCATTATTTAAAAAAACAACAACTTTATTTTAATGGGTTAGATTAAAATGATTTTAAATTCAATGTTCAAGGTGAGTGATTTAAAAAAAAACTTATTTAAAATAAATATTTATTTTTATATACATATGTAAAATAAATATTTAAATGAAAAGCTGGTTCTCCATATCGAATATTAATAGTTTTACTTTAAAAATTAATTCAGTAGATTTAAGTGGTTAAAGTAATGGCAATTGATTTAATACGTTTTAATAAGCTAATTCCCACAAGGAGAATAATACACTAATTTAACATAAAAATCACTTGGCATGAAATATTTGTTTATTATAGAATAATTATTTAAAAACTTTATTTTAATTGGTTAGATTAAATTATTTCAAATTCAAGTTCAAATGTGTGTGCATTTTTTTTTTTTCAGAAATGTTTATTTGTAAAGCTGGTTCTCCATAACCAATATTACTATATTTATCTTAAAAGATTTTAAAACAATACTGTAGTTCTAAATAGTTAAAGTAATGGCAGTTGTTTTTAAAAGTTAATCTAAATTAAGCTCATACCTCCAGTTTAGGGAAGCTGATTCCCACAAGGAAGTTGGCTGTCCAGTTGGAGCATCCTGCAACGGCCATGGCGGCAGGACGTGGCCCCTGGGAGAACAGTTCAGCCACTATGAACCAGGGAATGGGTCCAGGGCCCATCTCAAACATGGCCACAAAGGCAAAGACTGCAGCAATGCTGAGGTAGCGAAGAGCCTCAATGTCCTTCTGCTCAGGAACAAAGGTAAGAAAATAAAGATACAACATTCTTATGATGGTCAGATATTTACAGTGACTGTTTTGAATCTTCAGCAAAATGAAAACAGACAGCAGGACCCACCAATAAGAGAGCAATGGTCATGGCCAAGGCGCTGACAGCCATTCCACCCAAACCAATAAGGTGCAAAGTTCTTCTTCCTGCCCTCTCCACCAAGAAAAGCTTGTAGAAAAGGATAAAATTAAAGGGGTCCTATTATGCTTTTTCACTTTTTCAACTTTAGTTAGTCTGTAATGTTGTTGTTTGAGCATAAAAAAGATCTGCGAAGTTACAAAGCTCAAAGTCCAATTCAAAAGGAGATATTTTATTTATTTCAAACATCACAGATTTCTTATGAAGTTCAATGATAAAATACTTACAGATACTACAGTAAAGACAGTATTGACGACTCCAGCTCCAATGGTGGCATAAATGGGCTGATTCACTCCAGCTGACTCAAAAATACCAGTTGAGTAATAAAAAACCTTTGAGAAACACAAAGAAAAGTCCAAATGATTAACTAAAGAATGTAAAGTGATAGTAAAACAAGAGCACTAGTGTATATTAAACATTTGACAGTCTGACCAAATAATGAGCTATAAAGTGGAAGTTAAAAATCATGGCTGATATCAGAAATCATTTGTCACATTCAAAATGTAAGGTCAAGTCCGGCACATTGCATTTCAGGATACTGCATTTTGGAACATAATGAAAGTTTCGCATTCCAAGTATAGTAAGTCATCCAAATATTTACTGCATATATAAAGTATGCATATTATAAACAATATACATACTGTTTCACATTCAAAATAGTAGGTAGTATGCAATAACAAGCACAGTGCATGATGGGTAATGTATGTCACTCACAGCGTTGATGCCAGACAGCTGCTGGGACAGCTGCAGCATGATAGCGATGAGCAGAGGCTGGCGGTAAGCAGCGGTGCGGAAGAGCTCTGGGATGGTCACCTTCTTCTCCATGGCCATCTTCGCACTCTCCTCCTTCATCTCCTGCATGTCCTTCCCCACATCCTCGTAACCACGTAGACGCACCAACGCTGAGGGACAAAATAATGGAGGTTTGGTCATACAAATCTAACAAGAAAGACTACTACATTTTGGCATGGGTAAAACTGTTGAATGTTTCTGAAAGAAGTGCTTATGCTTACCAAGGTTATATACTGTGTGTGTATATATATATATATATATATATCAGTCATTATTCCAGTCTTCAGTGTCAAATAATGCTTCAAAAATCATTCTAATATGCTGATCTGGTGCTCAAGAAACATTTCTTATTATTATCAATGTTGAAAACAGTTCTGCTTAACATTTTTAGGAAAACCTTGATAAATGTTTTCAGGATTCTTTGATGAAAAACAGCATTAATTTGAAAGAGACATCTTAACATTAATCTTTATATTATTGTCATTAATTACAATAGCATTAATGTCTTTAATGTTTTAAATGTATTATTTATTTTAACTTAATTGTATCTGTATATTTAGATGTATTCTAGGATAAAAGGCAACTATTGCATCATCAACATCAAAGAAGATGCCAAAACCTGCTGTTGGTCTTTTGTCAAGTTCAGGGACTCTTAAAGACTCAAGCTTTTGCTTCCTCTATAAGGAACAGTAAAGCACAATATCAGAGTAGGGATGGTTTCTCCACCTTAATTCCCAGTTTCAGAAAACACTTGTTACCAGGCTAGTTTAGCAAGTCTGACAAGGGGTCATGTTCTGAGATGAGAAAACTTTGCTTCACAGCAAATGATATCAATGACTTCATGGTTTATAGGTTTATGAAAAAGAATGAGAATCATGTCAGTACCTACTGCTAAAAACATGGTAATGTCTGTTCTTCTGATTTACATGAATTCTGAATACTAAATAAATTATGCTCTAATAGCCTGCTTCTTAGATGTTGTTGGTAAACAGATTCATTTTGAAGATGAATGTCTCAGAAAATGGAATGAGGTAATGATGTTTACAGAAAATAAGAAAATGCACATTTGTTATATTAACAAAACCTGTCATATTATGCATGTAGCGTATAATGATTTCACAAACTTTATCTGGCTTAAAGCAGAAGTAATGTCTCCAACACCTAGCATCACCAAACAGAATTGCAAAGACTGATTGCTTTCAAACAGGTTTCCTGAATCCTTGCCAGCTGCCACTGGTTGACTAAAAGTTAGGTTTGCTGTGTCAGGTTGGTCAAGATGCTCAAAACGGAGCAAAATTTTGAAACTGGAATTTTTAAAAAGCATTTTACAACATAGCTGTGCTAGCTGACATCTATTACACATTTATGTGCGTAATAATCTGGTGTAAAATTAATCATCCAGCTCCAGTAAATGATAACCTAAATGTTATTTAATAAAGGGCTCCTGTTTAAGCAGATGTTTTAGCTCATTTTGTCATCAGCACTCTCAAAGGCATAATTAACGTTAAGTGGAAACATAAGGTTAAGTGCATTTGGCACAACTTCATTGCCACACAGATGAACTTTGTTCACCAAATAAAAAATTAGTTTAGGTTAATGCTGATGCGTGAGTGTTTTCTGAGGGAGTGGTGGCAAATTTGACATCTTTCTCTTTTCTGACTAATGTAATCAATCTCCTGATATTTTCTTCCTCTTTTGTAAAGCCATCATGGATTATTTCATTTGCTTTTGAAGCAAAAGGCAACGCAAAAGACATATTTGCTGTAGTTTGCTTTCACCACTATAAACGTTCTTTCAGCGTAAGCTGTTCAGTGAAGCATGGTTGCAGCTCAGTGGAGATAAAGCTCATTTGTGATCTCTTTTTTACCTTTACGGGCCTGTTCTTCCTCATTGAGGTTAATGAGCAGGTATCGAGGGCTCTCTGGACAGAACGGAAGCAGTATACACTGCAGGACAGCAGGTACCACGGTTAAAGCCAGAAGCACAGGCCAAAGCTTATCTGAACCCAGCAGATACTCCAGACCCAAAATCTAGATGGAAAAGGACACGACTTATAAGCAATTTGAACATTTACGGGTATCAAATTAAAACTGATTAGGTTATGATGGCATAAATTAGGCTGGCAGACTTAAAAATTGATCAGCAGACTCAATTAGAAGCTTCATGTAACATAAGTGCATCAAAACTAATCAGAAGGGATATTTCCCCAAGGCTTTGTTGTGTCACAAACATATAATGAGGCCACAAGGCTCTTAAAATGATTTACACATTTTTTTATAAACCATCTGGTCATATCCAAAATTAAAAGCTACTGTAAAGGCAACAAACTACATTGCTGTGCCATGCTGTACCTGTGCGATTAAGATGCCCACCACGACACCAAGCTGGTGCAGGGTCCCAAAGGCCCCGCGGAGGGGAGTGGGCGACACTTCCCCAACATACATTGGAGTAAGACCGGTGAAGAGACCACAGAACAGCCCAATAACCAGCCGACCGGCAATGATCATCTCAAAGGAGGAGCAGACAGTGCACAGTCCCATGAGACCCCCACCAATCAGAGCCAAGATATTCACAAGGATCATAGATTTACGTCTGTGGAAAGAAAAACAGACAGGGAGAGAGGGAGTTCAATTGAATTAGAAACACTAATTCAGCAGCAAATGGAGGAAATGAGAAAAATTAACCAAGAACACAATGTTAAGACTTGCACCCTTTTTTGTTTTAGTCACAATTGTTGTCCTTGGATGAAAATGTCACAACATATAGTCAATGTCATATTCATTCATTTTATTCTATTTTGCTCTGACTAAAATGATATATACTAAATATATATATACTAGTTGAAAATACTGTGCAAAACTGTAATAAACCAAACTCTAACCAAATATTTAAACACAAAAAAGAAAATCATTTAATAGTTATTTAATAATTTAAACATTTAAAAGATTAATCAACATAATCAAAATATGAGTAAAGATCTCCTTGTGAACTCCTGAAATAATAACATAAGTAGTAATAATTATATAGAGTATATTCTATTTTTTTAAGATTTATTTTACTTTATTACAATAGGACAGATCAGAACTGATGGGAAGCGAAGTGGGAGAGAGATAGGGATCGGGAAAGGTCCTCGAGTCGGAATTCAAAGTCGGGATGCCCATAGTGCAACGGCACTGTATGTCGGCACGCTGCCCACAAGGTTATCAGCACCAACTATACAGAGTGTATTCTAACATACAAATATGTTTTTCATCATGTTATTTTTAGTTTTACTTTTGATTATTAAAGCACCTGCCGAATAAAAGAATTCATTTCTTTATAAACTTTATACATTTTTTTCTGACCACAGACTTTTAAATGGTAGCCTACGGTGCCCGGAAGCTGACATGTTCGGTTCACTTAGTTTTGTCGTGGCCACGACATAATAACTCGTGGGAACGTGATAATATGTCATGGCCACAAGATATTAATTTGAGGGAATGTCATAATAACTCGTGGGAACGTGATATTATGTCATGGCCACGAGATACGAGATTTTGTCGAGGTAACGACATCCTTATGTCGTGGCCTCGAGATGCTATGTTGAGGGAACGACATCCATTTCTCGAGTTTAATGCGTAAACAAACCTGCGTGACCATAGCAACCCGGGATTATCAGAGATGGATTCATTCATATTTCATTTATAATCACACATGGGCATAAATACAATCATAACGTCAAAACTTTATTGGCATAATTGTCAGGCGTTTATTTGCAAAATATATGGTAAGCTAGCAAATGCTAGCATAATTAAATAAAACGTTAACTAGGTAAAGTGATACACAAATTTAAAGGGGAAATATAAGCATATATAACAATAAATGTAAAAATATAGCCCTAATAAGTTCATGTAATAATAATAATATACAAATATTAAATTAAAAGTTTAATGTTAATAAAAATGTTTTATCCATTTTTGATAATCCCGGGTTGCTATGGTCACGCAGGTTTGTTTACGCATTAAACTCGTGGCCACGAGAAAAATATGTAGATGAAGTATATCAGGAATAAATGTTACATAAAGTGCATAATATAAAATATAAAAACATTTTTATCCATCCTACAGTCTTGTAAATCCATTAACTGATCGTCTCTTTCCCGTAATATTTGTATATTATTATTATTAGCCTATTATTATTTGTTATATTTTTATATTCATTTATATTCATTATTTCCCATTCATTTCGATCTCTTTACTTAACGTTCTGAATACTTTTGTAAATAATACCTCAACATAGCATCTCGAGTGTCAGACTTTTGTTCCCGTTTGGATGTTTTCCTCCCTATGTGTTCCTGGTTTTCCCTCTGTTTCCTTATGCCCATATTTGGTTCTTCCTGTTCCTGTCCCTAATTAGTTCCATTAGTTCCAGCTGGTTTTGATTAATTATCTTGTTTGTCTCCAGTTACTTAAACCCTGTGTTTGCCTGTGTATGGCGTCCGGTGTCTTACGTCATCCTTGTGTTCCTACCTGCCCTGTGTTTCCCCTGGATTTGTGAGTTCATTAAAGACTGTTTGTTTAAGCTTCTCCAACGTCTCCAAGTCACATAGCACCTGAGTAGTGTGACAGAACACCGGACCGAAAAAAGGAAAGAAAGATGACAGCGCCCGAGGATCGGCTATGCTGCTTGCGGCAGGGTGGTCGGCCGTTGGAACTGTATGTGGAGGAATTCCTCGAGCTGTCTTACCGGGTGAGTTGGCATGACGCAGCACTCAGTGCCTGCTTTCAGTTGGGGCTGGATGAGAACCCAATCCGTTGTGATCTCCCGACATATGAGTTTCCCTTAATCGAGTTGATTAATCTAGTCCTTTATTTAAACGGTTCTAATTCCAAGGTTGAAGAAATAAAGGACAATATAAATAGTTCTCATCTAGACCCCACTCACACATGGGCATAAATACAATCATAATGTCAAAACTTTATTGGCATAATTGTCAGGCGTTTATTTGCAAAATATATGGTAGGCTAGCAAATGCTAGCATAATTATATAAAACGTTAACTAGGTAAAGCGATACACAAATTTAAAGGGGAAATATAAGCATATATAACAATAAATGTAAAAATATAGCCCTAATAAGTTAATGTAATAATAATAATATACAAATTCCAAGGTTGAAGAAATAAAGGACAATATAAATAGTTCTCATCTAGACCCCACTGAAACACACCGAGCCTCTCCCACTCACCCCGTGCTGAGACCCTCCACATACCTGGCCAATGGCTCCGACCACCCATCGCCTCCTGTCCTTTTCCGTACTCTGGGATGGACTTCGTTCAGCGCTAAAAGCAGCTCCCCTTCCGCTATCTCCAGCTATCCGATCCATCCCCGTCCTCTGCCCTGTATTGCCGGCCGTGGCTCACTCTAGCCCGCCGGCCGCTCCAAAGACAAGACCGCTGGAAGCTCAAAATTCAAGTTCGCCAGCCGCTCAGAAGACAAGCCCGCTGGCCATGCCGATGTCAAGCCCGCCGGCCGCACCGATATCAAGCCTGCCAGCCCCGGAGCTCGCTCCAGGGTCGGCTCCAGCCCCGGAGCTCGCTCCAGTGTCGGTTCCAGCCCCAGAGCTCTCTTCAGTGAGGGCTCCTGCTCCCGAGTATAGCCCACGGAGGGCTCCTGTTGCCGAGTATAGCCCACGGAGGGCTCCTGATTCCCCGTCGAGCCCAGGGAGGGCTCCAGATCCTGTTAAGCCCAGGAAGGGCTACTGATCCCCCGTTGAGCCCAGGGAGGGCTCCAGTCCCTGGTTATGGCCCACGGAGGGCCTTGGAGCACGAAATCTTCCCCAAGTATTTTTTTTTGGGAGGGGGGGTAGTAGGGCTCTTGCCGTAGAGGCCGGGGCTGGGGCCGTGGCCTTGGAGGCTGCTTTGCCATGGCCTCCTGAACTACTTGCTCCACTGTGGCAACCTGAACTGCCTGCTCCGCCATGGTGCCTCGAACTGCCAGCTCCGCCATCCCTAATTAGTTCCAGCTGGTTTTGATTAATTATCTCGTTTGTCTCCAGTTATTTAAACCCTGTGTTTGCCTGTGTATGGCATCCGGTGTCTTACGTCATCCTTGTGTTCCTACCTGCCCTGTGTTTCCCCCGGATTTGTGAGTTCATTAAAGACTGTTTGTTTAAGCTTCTCCAAGTCTCCTCGCACCTAGCACCTGAGTAGTGTGACATCGAGGCCTAAGGCGACATAACACGACATAAGGACGTCGTTACCTCAACAAAATTATCTTGTGGCCACGACATAATATCACGTTCCCGCGAGTTATGTCGTGGCCACGACAAAACTAAGTGAACCAACCATGTCAGCTCCCGGGCACCGTAGTAGCCTATATTTGTATACAGTTAGTTACTGTTTATTGTGTTATGAAATCTTTGTGCTTTTAAAACTAAAGACAAAAATATTAAACATATTTTTCTTCTTGATTATTGCTGACAAAATCAAAAACCAACCAAAACCAGGGAGAGTGGCAGAGAAGGCCACAGAAAAAGAACAATGGCCACTGAGCACACATGAATGCTTGCTTTGAATGAGGTTTTTCTGACAGTGTGGACAGTGTTCAAGCAGAGAGGAAGACAGAGGTCAACTTCTCTATCCTGAGTGGCCTCATTATAGTAAACCGCTTTTATTATTAATTAAGCATTTACTGTTCAGTTAAAGCAGCATTGTGAGTAACTCTGGCATAAGCTGATGGATAATCTGGCTGAGGTTTCCCAGCACAACAACATAAATGAAAAATGACTACATTAAACTTCTCTGTTCATCTTTATTATATTTATTCCACTTTACTGATGCATAAATTACATGGAAGACAGGTTCAAACCCACAATGTAAGCATTAGCTCCATGGTGCAATGTACTAGAAAAAATGCATTAAGCACTAGGCCATGGCTCTGACCTCAATGTGTCTTCTTTACCAATAAATTTAAACCTAAGTATATGAGTAATGTCACGGAAGAAGTCACAAGCTTAGGATTTCTTTCTTTTCATTTAAAATGCAAAAGCCTCTGAGCACAGGAGCACTAGGCCATGGCTCTGACCTCAATGTGTCTTCTTTACCAATAAATTTAAACCTAAGTATATGAGTAATGACACGGAAGAAGTCACAAGCTTAGGATTTCTTTCTTTTCATTTAAAATGCAAAAGCCTCTGAGCACAGGACTTCCACAAATGATATGTCAGGTTCTTGCCAAGTCCAAACTGGTCAATATTTGCCAGATTACACATGATGAATTAATTTCCACTCACCTTCCAAATTTGTTGGCTACGACACCGACACTGAATGATCCCACCATTCCACCCACGCTAAAGATGGCCACGGCAAAACTCCACACAACGGTGCACACACCCGGCTTGATGGGCTCTCCGTAACGCTCCATCCATGTGGCATTAAAGAACGCCCGCAGTTTCTAAGCGGTTAAAATGTTTTCATTGAAGATGGCCACTGCATAATTCCTATATTCCCATTTGTGTATGTGTGTGTATTTTATTTAAGTTTTGATGAATCATTTTAATTAAGTGCTAAATAAATATGTTTTGGTCAATTTAATGCATTCTTGCTTTAAATCTAAAAAAAAATCATATTAACTCCAAAGGTTTGAATGTGTAGTATATGTGTGTTTGAACTTTTGATTGGTACTACACAACACATACACATCTACTAACCTGTTCCGGGGCATTGATGACTCCTGTGTTGTAGCCAAACTGCAGGGAGCCAATTACAGCTGTCGATAAAGAAAACAGGAGGTAGCATGTCACCTGCTTCTGTAAAACAAGAGAGAAAAGGTTCAAGGTTGGTTAGTTGTCATTGTCATTTTATTTTGCGCTTTTTATTTTCATTGTCACATTTTGATCATAAAAATGAAACATACACACAGACTTTAAAAGACAGTTCTGAGATTAAATTAGCCTATTTATTTATAAAAACACTGTTATTTATATTCAAAATTGTCTATATTTATAAAACATTTCAAAAACATAGACGCCATGTTAATCATACTTTTTCTTGGGTTGTGTGACAAACAGACAGCCCGGGAAAGATTTCAATTAAATAAGAAACACTAATTCAGCAGCAAACAGAGGATATGTGAAAAATGAGACTTACATTTTTTTTTTTAAGTCATAATTTTTGTGTTTGGATGAAAATGTCATTTAATGTTCATTTTGTTCAGACTAAAATGACATATACTTTTAGTTGACAATAATGTGCAAAATGACAATAAAACTTGTCAAACTGTAATAGACCAAATTCTAACAAAATATTTACATATAATAATTATTTAAGAACATAAAATAAGTGAAAAATTTAGTTGTGAACTCCTGAAGTAATAACATATAAGTAATAATTATTGTAAGCACAGTATTATATAATTTATTAATATATATAATAAAATGTTATAATTTTATTATTAAAATGAATCACATATACATATTCATTATATACATTAATGTTTACGTAACTGAATTCTCTAAAAAGATCCAGTAGTCACACTGCACTCTGCTTTGATGTAGTAAATGTAAACACAACAGCAGCTAACAACATATTATATTATTAAAGGGCTCATCTTAATCATCACAAATCAGCCATGTCCTAAAACGGCCCTGCCTCCAGCTGTAAGACAACACTGCGACTACAGATTCCAGTTTTCTAGCGCAACAGGACACAGCAGTGCTGACATTGTGAAGGGCTGTGTGATGCTGAGATGGTCAGACATTCGACACAGGTGACCTTAAAGATATTACTGAACTATATCAAAACAAAAGGAGTGTATAGTCTTTGCCATAAACTGTATAAATACAGTAGTATTTCTAGGACATGGATGCATCTGTGTAGGTCGATGCAGTGTTGCAGGGCATTTCTTGCACAACACATTTGGCTTATCTAAGCAAAACCAACTGGATGTAACTATCTGAAAGAAATGTAGATCAAAAGCATAATTTCCTTTTAATCTGATCCTATTATTCCTACTCGCTCTCCCTCTCTTCCGCAACCATACAAATGACTCAGTGAAATAAGTTTAGAAACAAACGTCATCTGACAAATGCATTCCGAGTCAAATGCTCGGAATTAAAGAGTTACAAGACAACCTGGACAGAAAAGTCCTAACATGTGTAGACAGCTATGAATGAAAACATCTAATCTGCTCACAAGATTGATTTAATCTGCTGATGTTGTGAGGGTTAAGATAGAAAAAAACGTACAATACAAACAACTTCACCACCCACTCTGCCTCCCTCTCTTTGTCTCTCCCAAACATTTACATCCCAATAGGTCTTAATATCCTTTTTATCCTGTCCTCAGCATCTCAGCCACTCCTTCATCGTCATAGCAACATCCATTGGGTAACAGCTGCATTGACATTCCTTTCAATGAGACTACAGCAAACAAAGGCAACACACTGGTATTATGCATGACACTGCTGATTGATCATATTGATTGACTTTTGACATACATTCAGTGCTGAAACAAAGACTGTATATACATATGAACAAGTTGCATAACTAAAATGGTTAATCAAAGTGATGCAAAGCATCTATGGTAGGCCTACATTCATTACAGCCAAGATTTCAAGATGCAACACACAGACTTACAGTGCATGTAAACCATTTTATACTATTAAAATGCATAAATGTTATATTTAAATACATGTAGAGTGTTGTGGGAACAGATCATTATACTATAGCACAAAAGCAGCCGGTATTGATTGAGGAAAACAGGTTAAAGGGACAAACCTTCTCCCCCTCCATGGTGCCAGAGTGGAAACGTCCAAGATTGATGGATTCCGAGTGAAAGTGATAAGGTTACTTGGCACACAATCTTCTTATGCCCGAGATGCGATGCTGTTCGTGACTATTTTGCTTTTAAAAACTGCAAAAATTGTAAAACATTTGTAAATTAGCGTAAACAGTGTGAGAGTCATACTCCATCCCCCCCCAAACAATCTGTTGCGTTATCATCAAAGACTATAGAATACCCTTAAAGGGACTTTGGTTATCATCTCCCGCAACATCTTTCAGAGCTCATACTGTCATACACGTTAAGCAAACCACAAACGTTTTAGCGACATATAAGCCTGTATAATACAATTTTTTATAATTTAAGTAATAAATAATGACAGTAGTAGTTACATCTTCAGACGAACTTGTAAACTTTTGTGTTAAAATGAATGTTTATGTATAAATATGTCGACATATAAGCCTGTATAATAAAATTTTTTATAATTTAAGTAATAAATAATGACAGTAGTAGGCCTACTTTTGTTTCGCCAATGCTACATCCTGAAATTAACATCAGAGTAGGCCTATTGTAGTTACATCTTCAGACGAACTTGTAAACTTTTGTGTTAAAATGAATGTTTATGTATAAATATGTACTTCATGTAAAAATAAGAGAATATAGCCTACTGTTTTTGACCCCTCCCCCAAACCTTTTGTGACGACCCCCAGCCCCCAAAAATGCAAAAAAGAAAAAAACGATCCTATAAATAAATAAATAGCCTTAGTTAAATAGCCTAAATAAAACCGTCAAACTATACACTGTCGTACAACAGGTGTTTCTGCATATTGCGGACTCCACTTTTTTGACAAGTGGATTTAAGTAGCATCTTCTTCACCTCAGACCTTTTTTTTATCATTAAACATTTTTTACACGTGCAAAAATAAATATGTTCGTAATTTTAAGCGCCAAAACATCCCAGTTTTATTAATACTACTGTACTATTACAGGTCTCATAACCATAACAAAACATAGATCACACTATGCATGTAGGCTAATATTTTAACATTCACAATTGTTCATTAAGTTACTCTTTTTACTTAAAGAAGACGCCGTCAAATTCATTTAAACTAACAGCCAAATAAGATCATAGAAGATGTGGCTACTACAATAATCAGCATCAGGCTATTATGGTAACTTAAGTCATATACTATTTAAATACCTGGCAATTTAAATGTATATCATTAACTGAGTCTGCAGTTACCGTATCTCTCGTGCGTCGTGAGTGACCACCCGTTCGCGTGTGCACGTATCCCGTTGGCCCACTGGCACTGAAGTCTGGAGAAATTCGCTCCGGCAATTATGTATTCGTTCATTCGTCACACGCAGCAAATACACGACCAACCGCACGTTCCCCTTTGACGGAATACCGGCAGCCGCGCACGTAAAGCCTCGCCCCCACCCCTACCCCTTTATGTATTTCGCATCACGCCTTGTGACATCTGCTCCGTCATAGCGCCTCGTGATGCGGGAATACCTTATTTGACGAGGTTTCGGTTAGGATGTGGATTGTGCTCGTGGGGTGGGACCAATAGCGTCCGATACTGCCGCCCATGATGCTCTGCGCGGGTGACCTTGATAGAGCATCAGCTGATGGGTGCTACCAAATGGATGCAGCGCCGGGTACCACAAACTCCAAGGATGCAGCCATGCAGCTTTTACTTCCTGAAATTTGTAGAGCGGAAAAAGTAGTAATAAAAATACTATGAGTATATATAATATTCACATTTTCTTTTTTTTTTTTTCCTTTGTTTACCTATGAATAACCGTTGAAAACCGTAGCAGGCCTAGGCACATCCCACTTGCGTTTATTCAGGCCTCAAAGAGGCACCTGAGTCATGGCAGTATCAAATTCTGCAGCACAACAGCCTAAATTCTACTGCAGGAGGGGTCACAAGACTCCAGATGATTTTATAACACAATGCGGTTGCATCATTATATATGTCTGGTTTATGTGCACTGTAAAAAGTTTCAGTTGGTTTGAATATACCTAAATCCATATGGTGCTGCTGACTTAAATAGCTATAAGGGGAGATTTGGGCTAGTTGTCACATGATATTGTTTATTTGTAGGCTAGTTCGTTTTGTATGGGTGCATTATGTACAAATATTGGTTAGTTATTGAACATTTCCACCATTTACCAGGACAAAAACAATTAACAGTGGGAATAGGGTTGCCAACTTCAGAAAATGAAAATACGGGACAATCACCTTTGGGGGGGGATGTTGGGGGATGAGTGACCGTGTATACACACACACACACACACACATATATAGTATGCATGAAAATGCGTATTTTTCAATTAAAGACAGCTTATAGATTTAATATGGGCTGCTTTTGGTGCTTGACACCTTTTTATTGGTCATTTTGTGTTTCAAGAATAAGGTCCAAGGTTAAGAATTATGCTATTAGTTACTTAAATATAAAATGTTTTTCTCTATTTAACAACATTATAATAGTGAAAGACGACTTCCCTTTCTGGTCACGTCTCTTGGATGTTGGACTCATGAAAAATAATCACGTAGTTTGTATTCACCAAATCTGATTTACTGAAGTGAAAACACGGACGGAATTGGCGTTAG